TCCTCTATTTATTTTACTCATTTGTGAACCTTTAGTGTTTTTATTCTCAACATGTCTTCATATTTACCATGGAATAATGTCTGCAACACCTAAATGCCAAAGAACAACCTTTTACGGTATGATGCAGGGAACCAAGTAACTGAATAATAAGGGTAAGAACCCAAGACTCTGGGGAAAAATTAAATTGCTTTTGAATCAATGAGTCGATGCAATCAACTGGTTTTCCTTAGATAGAAAACTTTGTATCAATTTGACTGTATGATCTGGTTGAACTGTAAAGTGCCTTCAGATGACGTGTTGGGAATTGGCGCTATAGAAATAAACTGAATTGAATTGAAATCTTTTCACATTTAAGATTTTTTTTACTGCTTTTGTAATATCATAGTAATGCTTCAGTTTGGAGTTCTTGATTGGTCAAAAAATATAATCAGTAAATAAAGTAACTTTATAATTTTGAAATTTTAGCTGTCCTTTTTTTTTTTTCTATAGACACCAGCACCCCTCGTGACCCCAGCAGGGATAGGCTTGACGGAAAATAGATGGATGTATATAAATAAATAAATAAAAAGCTTTTATTTTGTCTTTTGCATCCCACTTTCTAATACCAAACTATCCCTTTTAGTAAATATCTGAAATTAATCAAGATGATGTTCAAAACAATGCTTTGGAACCTGCACACATGCTTACTCATCCGTCATCTTGCTTGTTATGAGCTTATTCAACCTGTTTAATCCACAAAGAGTGAGCCGATCACTCCCATTTTAATCCAATCAATGTCAGCCTTCACAGAACCTGACAACAGGAGGATCAAATGAATCTATGCTGACATATAATTTAAAAATGTACTTTAAAATCCTGAAATTAGCTCTAATATTTGTAAATATCATCATACTAGACAACTTTATCTTTAAGGATTTTATCCTATGTTCTCTATTCTATTCTATTCTATTATATTATATTCTATTCTGTTCTATTCTATTCTATTCTATTCTATTCTATTCTATTCTATTCTGTTCTATTATATTCTATTCTATTCTATACTTCTGGTTTGGAAATGTACTTAGGTGTATTTGGGAATCAAAGTCATCTTCTGGGAACTTCTATCTTCTGTTGTGCATTTAGCCCCTGAAATCTCTATTATTTCCCTGACAGTATTAAATAATTTCTTTTTGTCCTGAAATTTCAAACTTAAAGTACTGTATCTGTTTATGTTTGTCATTATTGACAGCAAACACTTTTTCAAATATTAAAGAAATTAGGGCTGAAACAATCAAATTGATCATGATTAAACGATTATTGAAATAATCATCGGCTAATTTACTTACTGAATGATCGTTAACTGCAGTTTTTAGGACTGTACGCCTGTAGCACTTAGGGCAGTAATTATATTTAAGGTGGGGAAAAAAATGGCTGTTAGTATGCTCTATCCAGAACTTCTCAAGTGGAAAAGTTTTAGTTTCCACTGGTTTACTTTTGTAAAAAAAACTTCTTTAAAGAACCTTTGGCTATCCGATTAAGAATCCATTAATCGGAAAAATAATCGGCATATTACTCGCTTTGCAAAAATAATCGTTAGTTGGAGCCCTAAAAGAAATCGTGGACAGCGGGAAAACAATGGGACATTGTGATGAACGCCAAGAAAGTTTGGTGTTGAGTTGTTTATATATGTATTAATACTTTAATACTATCATCTACAGGAAGATTTTGAGATGAATTAGCTTTATTGATGTTCCTAAAAGAAAATGTCTCCATTTAAATGAATACAGCTTTTGTTCTGTTAGGCCAAAGGGTCTGATTTTGTTGAGTTTTCTCCTGAAGACACGTTATGCTGAGTTTTGTGGTGAAGATCATGAGTTGTTGTTTTTAACAGAAACTGCACAGCAACATTTCCCCACCATTTCTATAGATCTATTTAGTGAAGCCAATGGACGACTATTATTTATTATCATAAAAGTGTTTTTATGGAGTTCCTCTCAATCTCATAACTTAGATCATCTTGTTCTGCATTATTGATAGAAATTATTTTGATACCTCTGAGCTATTGCATATAGATTGGATCATCAGGGTTACTCAAGTTTGAAATGATCCTTTATCAAACAAACTAAGACGTGAAAAACTATCTCTTTTGCTCTTTTCTGCTGGAGAAAAAGGCAGTAATATTCCCTAAGAGACTGAAAGAATATGTCACATGTTATCTGCTTTTGAGAGAAGATGAGAGGATATTTTCACACTAATGGAGCCTGGGGTCCTCCCTGTGTATTTCTAAGCTTTGGGAGCGTCAGCGCGCGAGCACGCACACAGATATGCGGAAAACACGCACTTTCTCTGCAAATCAATAATCTCATCGGTGATCAACAAATGAAGCATGTGGTTAAATCAAGAAACTGATTGAAAACAGAAACAGAGATAAATGCATGTATGAAAAAACTTCAAAGTGCACCAAAAATCTAGAATCAAGCTGTTGATCGGATCGGGCACGTCTTGCACGTTTGGCGCACAATCAGTGAAGATTCGCGCAGTCTTCAACCAGGCTGCAAAGTAAAGAAATTAACACACAAAATTCAATTTAAAAATAAAATGTCTTACCCATTTCTTCTGCTCGTTTGGAAACTTTCCCCTGAGACAAAAACAGTGTGAGATGCGCTCCACAGGTTGTCGCGCCTCAGCCAAACCACTGGACGTCCCGTTGAAGAATCAAGAGAGGGGAGGGGGTGACGTCACGACCTGCGACTAGAAATAGATCTGAGTTTATTAATCCAAAGAGACATGCGTCCTGATCAGATTTGCATGTATCACGAAATAAATTGAGTGAAGGAATGCATTTTTTAAATGTTTAGTTTGCACAAGGGTAGTGTTATCACAATGCTGAGCTGGTTTCAAGCAAAACATGTGCTATAAATATAGAATCTTCTATGTAGATTTTATCATCCAGGTGAAAAAATAGAAGACCAAAAAAAAAAAAAAAAAAAAAACCTAACATCGAGGTCAAAGTTCAATAAAACATTTTGAACTATTCAAAATTTGCATTCTACTCTATATGTTTATGATGTCAACTATTTACATTTTAGTAGGTGGTTATGGGTTTACATTTTACAGGTAAATAATGTAGAGCCTCAGATTGATGGTTGGATGGAGCATTTCAATATAATCTGGAAATATTAATATTTAAGTCATAATTTATGGGGTTTTTTCACATTCATCCAGAACATTAAACAAGTTGATATAAAACCACACACTGTGGAAACATTAAACATACCCCATTTCAATCTGAAAAACTCACATGAAGAGAAAAGACAATTAGGAGAAATTTATTTAAAAAATGAATTTGCCTTTGGTGCTCAGACCGCGGCAGGAAACATAGTGCTGAATTTTGATAGATATGTGTGAACAGGAGCAAAGAATAGGGCTGTTTCTCTGCCAGGGCTGAAACTGGTGGTGGAGTGGAGATAGAGGAAGTTGGTCAGTTTGTAGACTGCTGGTTAGTGAGACGGTCTGCTGAGCTTTATGGGGAGATCCAGCTGATTCTAGAGCTTCACTCAGGGACCTGGAAGATGGAAGTCCGGTTTGGATAACACAGGTTGAGAGAACCTGTCCATGATGAGCAAGCATGAAGCGACAGCGGAGAGGAAAACCTCTGGCAGAACCAGGCTCAACATGGCGGTCTTCTGTCTGACGGGTTAAGATGAGACATGGAACGCTGTAAGAGTCCGAGAGGAATGACACTCTGATGAAGCTTTAGCTACGATGGTGGAGGAGGGGCTGGATGAGGGTGTCATCTGAATGAAGTCACAGCGCATCCGCCGCCTGCGCACAGGAGCAGACAAGTGCGGATCAGAGGCCTTTTAAGATGAACTTTGGATGCCGATTGGCTTTCATGGAGGTTTGGTTCAAAGCTGATTGGCTGTGTCGCAGGTGGATGTACGAGAGCAATGAGTTTCTTCAGTTGTACTTCCACCTAGGCTCCATTATTGCTGCAATGACACTGCTGCTAATGTGAAGGTTTGGGTTGACTAGAGTGTAAATGTTTAGCTCTGGTTGGAGATTTGATTTGTGAATGAGCTACTGACTGTAACGTCTTTTGCATATTTGCACATCTGAATCAGTTTTCAGTTTCTGCAGCCAAATTCAATATTCATTTTAAATCATAATTTTACTTCTACCTGCTTTTATTGTTTCACTTCACTCTTTTTCTGTTTTAAAGAATTCTGCGTGTTTAATTGGACAAAATATAATTTTCCTACAGGGATCCCTCAGTGGTTATGATGCTCTGATAGGAGATTCTGATAGGTAGATTTTTACTGTTTGCAACATTGTAAAATGTAATTTGCTGGATGGAAATCCAGAACCTTTGGATTAAACTAATGAACTAATGTCTGGTTGAATAAAGCATTGTAATGTTAGGTTTGTGACATAGTGCATTATTCTGTGTGCATTGTGGTCATAAAGGGATAAGGCTCTTCAACAAGACTCAACTAAAACTAATAGGCTTAAGGTGCACCAAGAATTACCCCTTCACCATGATAACACCACCACCAGCCTGAGTTATTGGGTTACAGGACAGAATTCTAATCTAATATTGTTAAATTTTCATGCGCTTGTTTTTATTTAGATCCTGTTTTTTTCGTTAAAGCTGAAAAAAGATTAAGCTTCTTTGGATTTTGCAGTCAGAGATTATTAGTATTCGTTTGATTGCTGTTGGATTTCTTCCGCCCAGCTGCCTCTTATTTGTATGTTTTCCTTTTGAGATCTTAAGAGTTTGAACTTCAGCTAAGTGCCTGATGTCATTATGTTAAATTACTACCCCATGAATGGCTTGTAATGGTTTACCTTTGATGTTAAATGGGGGCAGAAGGAGAAACTAATGACTGAAGAGTACTAACATACAGAAGGTCCCTTTTATTTTCTCTACATATGTAAAAACTACCTCAAGGTTAAATTATTTGAATTTAGGACAATCTTTCTTAGCTAAAAAAAACAAAAAACACCCATATATATAAAAAGCTTTATTAACTACTTTTCTGTAAAGATACACAAACAAGGTAAAATACAGGTCAAACCTCTTGAGAAGACACATGAAAGTTATTCAAAGTAATGTCACAAACAAAGCTGGATTTAGAGGAAACAAAACCAAGCACTCTGAACTTGGGTTGAAAAGTGGAAAATCTGAAGCAGCCATGCAGAGAAGCGTCTGTTTTACTGCTAAGAATAAGCTGACAGGCCTAAAGGGAGCTGAAAGATCAGCAAGGTGGAGGGGAAACAGAAACAGATCAGGAGGAAACACACAGACTCCTGTGCTTTGAATATATTTACATCAGCACCAGGGACACGGCTCACGTACAGTAAGCCTGCCCTTTCCCTGACCCTGAAACAGAAGCTTGTCCGCCTTTCCTCCACTTAGAATGGCTCCTAACCTTCAGCTCTACATGTCCAGCTAACTCAGTCACCATCCGTTACAGAACAAAGCTGCTGACTCTTGGGGAGATCAGAGTTCACAGCTTCAGCGGGATGACAGGCCAATATTTGGGCTGCTTCCGGTCACAGTTTCTGTCGAATGTCAGCTGCATGGCCGCCTCCATGGCCAGGATCTTTGCCGCGTCTTTCCCATAGAGCTTCTTCATCTCTGCGGCTCGCCTCTCGCCTGGTCGGTCAGAAGGGGGAGCGGCGCTGCTACGGTTGGAGACGCCGTGCAGGTCCTGATCGGCCAGTACGTAGCCCTCCTGCTGCTCTGCTTCCATCTGCTGCTGCCTCTCTGCAAAAAAAAAATATTAAATTAAAAAATTCTGCTACTTTGAAAGTAGTTGGAAGCGCTTTTATTTGTCTCTACACCCCACCATGACTTACTCAGCTCCTCTCTGTGTCTCTCGGTGTGGGCGAAGTACTGCCGGAGCTCCTCACTTATCTCCATGTTGCTGACGTCACATTCGATGTCGCTATCCGAGCTGCTTTCATCCTCTCCATCGTCTGCATCGTCGCTGCCGCTCCCCCCAGCCTGCCAGTCGGCATAGCGTCGCTGGCTGCTGGGATATCCCTCATGTGGGGGGGCTGGGCCATAAGCCGCCTCCAAGGCCTTACTGTAGGCCCGCCTGTGTCTCTGCTGCCAGGCCATGGCCTGTCGGTAGTGCTGCCAGTAGCGGCTGTACACAGGGCTGGAAAACCAGGACATCACAGCGCTGACGTCCTCCTGCAAAGACATCTTAACTTTTAGAAATCCTTAAATTTACAGCAAAAGCAATCTAAAAATAAATAAAAATTATTTTAATTAGCATATTTACCCTTAGGTTAAGTAGGCATATAATATGATCAGCTAATGAAATAAGAGATATTATGGACTTGAAATAAGTTGTTTTTTCCTAATTTTAAATGTTAACTGTCTTATTCCATTAGCAGAGTGTCTCAATTACCTCCTTAATTGAAGAAACATTGACTTACTTGAATTTCAGTTTTTTTACTGTTCTGTGCAAATAAAAGAAACAATTTTTTTTATTTTTATTAGGGTTAGGCATTAAATTTCTTCTTTGTAATTTGCCTAATAGTTTTAGAAATTCCGAAGCAGGTTAGCCACATTCACAGCTTGAAAGAATAGCTCGCTAGATCATAAAATTATTTCATTTAATCCAATGAAATTCATCAAGTACAGTATGTTGTTAAAACTTGAAATAAAAATCGTTAAAAGTACATCTTTGCTTTTTTCTGCAAAGAAAAAACCTCAGAAGTTGGGTGTTAAAACAGTTTTTTTTTTTTAAGTTCATGCAAAGTCATTTTGGCTTCTTCTGCAGCTTCAAATGTTTAACGCTGATTTTTGGAGTATGAATAGAAGCTGATATACGGTGACATTTCAAGCCTTTTATAGGTGTGAAAAGCTCTGAAAGATTGCAAGGAAATGCAGATATGACCTCAGTAGATATCTTCTAGCAGCAGAACATTGTTTTGATCAGGTGTTGTTTTAACACAAACAGTAAGAATTGAAGTGGGCAAGAAAAGGTTTGATATTTAGCCTCAACTACCTGAAATTTACAATCAAGCACTTTTGGCAGTCGGTGAATTTAAAATCCTCTATTTCACTGCAGTCGATTATGTCTGTGTGTAAATGTTTTATGAGAGAGGTTGTTTTATCTGTTGTACCTTTTTATTTTTATTATTTTTTTTATTTAACCAGGGACAAAAATCCAATTGAGATTAAAAACCTCTTTTTCAAAAAGAGTCCTGGCCAAGAGGCAGCAAAGTTACATAATAAACAGAGAAACATTAAAGTAAATGACCTGTACATAAAAAAACATATCAAGTAAAACAATACCAGATCATTGAGGCTGCTTTCACTTTCAACTTAAAAGCATTTAAAGACAAAAACTCAGTCAACTTCCAGTTTCTTTGTAAAAAAAATCTAACTCCTTATAAGCTGCTGCAAGAGTTTTCCAGTCTAACTGGAGCTAACCTGGTTAAATAAAGGCTAAATATAAATTTAAAGTGGGTTTCTTTATGTAGTATAGTCCAAAATGCATCAGTTTGTTTTCTTTTTTTTCCTTTTTTATAGTTTTCTAAAGTATATTTATTTTGAAATGGGCCTTTCTCAGGGAGGAGGCTGTCGAAGCAAAGACTAAAAAAGAGAAAATGATTTTTCCAGTTGACAGTAAAGCTCTCTTACCATGTCTGAATGGAAGCAGCCTTCAGTCTTTAGCCTGTGGACAGAAACATCTTTTACTTCCTGTTGTTGTTTCATATAATGTGACGTCACGTGCGGCACAGTTTGTAGCGGCAACAATAGGTCCACATGATGCGGGTCCACATATCATAGAAAATATTCAACAAACACAGTATTTCTAGCCAAGGTTTACACAAAATATGACATGTTTACCTCTCAGTTAGCGCCGCATGATGCCGACCTCCATATTGAAAATTTCCCAGCAGCCTTTGAGCGAAAGGAAATCAATTACCGAGTATTTGGCTCCCTCTGGTGGACAAATGTGGATTGTGTTTAATGTGAAGACATTCCACAGGAAGAAAAAACAAACAAAAAAATATATATATAAACAAACAACAACACAGAGCAATATTTATCATTTAGTCGCATTAGCTCCTACACAGAATAAAGACCAAATTTCCACATTATTGAGTTTAATTAAAATTGTATGCTGTTCCAACTGAAAATCTGTATTTTTAGTTTCTAAAATGTTGAGTTAAGTAACAAAAAAAAAATCCTTTACCATGGAAAAAAGTCAACTGAAATAACTAGTTGCCAAGTGAATATTTATTAGAAGATAAAATGTTTTTATCAGGTAAATGAACATTAGCAGTTCAGGAATCGACATGTTTTTGACTTACCAGTTTTAAAAAAAAAATTGATAAAACAGAATTCAGCTGCAATAAATTGTGATTTTTTTATTTTGTTAAAAAATGAAATTTAGCAAATGTGAACTGTGATTCTATGTCAATACAAGTGAGGCTATCAGTTTCATTTTAAAATCATAATTAAAACTGAACTGTAAAGAAATATAAAAAAGAAAATACATGGATTTCACTTCAACTGTTTTCCAGTGCAGATCATCATTAGAATGATTTTTTTTTTTTAGCATTATGTCTTCAGTACAGGGGCAATAGAGGGTCCAGGGGCACTTCCCGCCATTGGCCCCTGTCTAGAGCGGCCCTTGAGAAGTAGTTTAAGCTTCAGCATTATTTTAATTTTATGTAACATCATAATCAATTGGATTTAAAACCTGAATTATTTTAGGGACTTCCAGACTGTTCATTTCATGGTTTTTGAACTATTCTGAGCGGCACTTATTGGTGGGATTAATGACAATTCCATGAGGGAGTCCAGGTCCTGAAGCAGCAAAGCAGCAGGACATCACAGAACAACAGCAACTCTTTTAAAAAGAACATATTCTTACGTTTCAGTCAACATAATAGTTTCCAAATTGAGGGACATCGATATGTCTTTTTTAAAATTATTATAGTTTTATTATATTTTGGCAAGCGGTAGTTTTAGAACCGTTCTTTTCAATGAATTGTTAACTCTGACATTGGTTTAAAGCTTGTGAGTTCAGCAGACATTCAGATTTTGCTCTGGATTGTTTTGTGAAATGCTGGCTGGATAGTGGAGTTATTTGGCCTCTCTGCCACAGGTTCAGTTTACCACTGTTTCATGTTTTCACCATCTGTGTGGCTTTCTCCACATTTCACTTGTGGGCCAATACATTCAAGGGCCTTTACTCCTCTTCTACTCTATTTAAATTACCCTCGGTTTCTTGGTTCTCTTTTTTTTCTTGGTTCCGATAAAGCGGGCTTTTGGTGCGCTTCCCATCATCATCTTGTTTAATACCCAGAGTTTGAAGTTAAGGGCGCAAACCAATGTCCAGACATTCTCCTTCAGGATTTGGCGTAGAAAACCTTCTTTTTCAATGCTATTAGTTTTATAGCAGGTATGATGGATGCACCTTCCAAAACTCTTGTCTTTGTCAAAATGTCTCCCATTTAATAAATGTGGGATTATCCTTTGTGTTCAGGAGCCACACCTTCTAAAGTTTACCCTGAATTTTGGCTCTCACTGTGCCTAGCTGGAAGTTCAAGGCCTTAAAAATGGCTTTCTAACAATATAGTAAATAGTATTTTTTCATTTCTTCAGATGGGCAAATGGTGTGTTGCTCTTTGGAATCCATTGGCCTTTGGCTTACTTCCTGCTGTCAAAAGGGTTCCATTAAGTAAATTCTTGGTTTGAGATGTCTCCCCGTTATTGTTTATTATAGTTGAAGTCTAATTTAGCAAGCTACTGGTAACTTTCCACATAGTGCCCGATTAGGTTGAATTCCCTGGTTCCGTAATGAACAAAAGCATAACCTGAAAACTCTCTTTTGCATTTAGTCAACTTCTGTTCATAAGAATTATGATCTAAAACGAAAACAGAAGAAACAAGAAGTGGCCTATTTTTTTTTCAAAGCTCTGGATATGATTTGGAAGCTAAATTTAACTCAGAATATAATATCCCACAATTTTACATTTGATATTTGACTTATTGGTGATTAGCTAATGCATTTCATGTTAAAAAATAAAATCAATAATTTTTTAAAATATTTTTTATCAAAGTGAAAGGCACCCTTTAATAATTTGATGACCTTCAGCAGCTCCTAAATATCAATCAAGAACTACTTAGTGAGTTTTTCATTGTTTTTAGTAGTTTCTAGGTGTAATTTTCTAACTTCCTCTGCAAGTTTCCCTTAAATTTTCAAAGAGATATGATATAATATGATATTATGATATTTATTCACAAAACATATGTTATTCAGATCATATAGCAAGCATTTTTTTAGTAGAACTTGCTTTAATATTTATATAGAAGCTCTAGTGTCATCAGACCTTAATCTGGTTTCTGCATTGAAATCAGCTGAGATGCAGAATACGAGTATCTGTTTTTATTGGTCCAACAGAACCTATTTCTTTTAGTATTAAATTGATTGAAAGTGGAGCTGGTTTAACGTGTGTTTGAGCTCGACTATTGAGACGTCTTACTAACAGGATATAAACCCAGCAGCTTCGGTGGGCCTGACTGCTGTTAGATGTTTCGTCATATATGTAGGTCATACTTTGGCTGCAGGCTTCAAAGCTTTCAGAGGAAGTGAAAAAGGACTTGCATCTTATTTGAACATCTTCTCTCCTGTAAAGTAAAAAACGTTTTTTTTTTTAACATATGAAAATTGCAAACCTTAATTTGAATTCTAACATTGGCTTTGATTTTTATGGAAGAAGCGACAATATGTGCTACAAATATAACCCATCCGCTTAGTTTTTCTGCTGAATACACCTAATCCTGCAAACTATAACACATTACAAAAAAAATTAAATGGACTGGTGCATATCTATAATAATAATAAAAAACAACCTTTGCACTTGTCTGCATATTTATTATGGAACTGTTGCTCATACTGTAGGATGCATATAATTCTGCTCATTGCAGCAACAGTTTTTCATATATGGAGTTGCTCATGGCGGTATTTGACATTGAACACTAAACCTAAATAAGTATTGTGATCTTTTTCTGACACACTATGTAGTAAAAGGGTGGTGTCTGACTGAAGCCCACATTATCTCCTACTGTACCTACACCACAAACTGTTCTTGCTCCAGAGGTCTGGTTAGAGAGAGACTGAAAAAGGTTCCATGAAATCTCAAGACTATCAATGGATTCTTGAGAGAAATGTTTTTTCCCAGTGTCAGAAAGCTTTGTCTCAGTCAGAGGTCATAGGTTTTACAACAGGATATTGACCCACAACACAGCTAAAAACAGGCAAGAATGGCTAAGAGGAAAACATTGGACTCTTCTGAAGTTGCATTCTATTTGAGCCCTAACCTGAACATCTTTGAAAGTAGCTGAAATTTCCCGCCTGGAAAAGGCAGCCTTTAAACCTGAGACAACTGGAGCAATTTGCTCAAGAGGAATGGGCCAAAATACCTGCTGAGAGGAGCACTGATGGCTACAAGACCATTTGCATAAAATTATTACCTGAAAAGGTTGTGCAACAAAATTCTAAGTGAAGGTTACAATATTTTTTGTCCAGTTGTTTGTTTCACGGGTTTCATTTTTAAAACCATTCTTTTGAAGCAGGGATAATAATCAATACAATAGAAAAGAATAACACAGAATAGAAAATCTCTTTATTGTCCCACAATGGGGAAATTCTGGTGTTATAGCAGCAAAAAGATTATAGAAAAAATTATCACACAAATTTGAATCTTCGAAAAGATTGTATTTTTATAAAATATTTTAGTATTTTATACAAATAAAATACTGTACTGTAAAGTGTTTTAACAATACAAATACTGTGCACCTAAATAAATAAATAACAAATATTTTGACAGTAATGGATATTTAAAAATAGCAGGAAATTCAAAGATGTGAAAAATGACGTCAGCATGTTGTTAAACTGACTAAGAAAGAAACTGCACAAAATCAGCATGAATGTAACAACTTGTTTAGGGTGTTGGGAACAGTGGTGGTTACACAGCTGCTGGTAGGAAAGATCTGTGATAACACTGCTGGGTGCATTTAGAGTGCAGCAGTCTGTCACTGAAGGAGAAGTCAAGTTCAGCAACAATAATGTCTGACTTTAATTTTTTCCAATTAAATAGATTAAAAAGATCTATTACTTTTGTCAGATTCAGGTTATTTCTGTAACCATTGTATGTTTTTCCTTTATTAAATCAGGGATAACAACAATTTTGTGCATATATATAGGTGCTTTGTGGTCGTCCACACTATTTTTCATCTTGAGCCAGAACAGCAGGTAATATTTTTTGTTGTTAACTACTTAGATGGAGGCAGAAGGAGGTGCCATCCATTGCACCACCAACTACTGAATCTCCCCAATCATCTAACTTTAGGTGAACAAGGATGACAAAAGTCTATCTGATACAGTTACAGTGTGTTTAGTGTTGTCCTGGTATGACTAAAAAAAGCAATGCCTGTCATAAATTGTTCTTCACTAGCCTACAGAAGATGAATGGGTGGCACAAAGTAAAAGCCATTACTCTTAAACCAAACAATTTCTCCAATGTGAGGCATATAAAGTTCAATTATTATTATTATTATTATTGAAAGAAAGAAAGAGATGCTTTAAAAGGTTTTTTTTTTTTCATAAACACAGAAGACTCTTCAGAACAATTTCAGAACTATATTTTCTTATTTAGAATTTATTTCTTTGCCACATCAGGAACTTTAAAAACCTTTAATTTAACCTCCAAAGGGTTAAAAATTGTCGAAAGCCATCCATGTTTTTTCCTGTAACTGAAGCGTGGGAACCCATAACCTGTTTTATTCACACCTCTGTACCGTAGT